CCTGAAACTCTCTACAGTCTTCCTGCCTCAGGCCGCTGAATACTGTGATTAAAGATGTGAGACACTGTGTCTGGCACAAAAGAAAAGCTCTAACAAGAGTCGTATTCCCTTTGTTGCGTGAACCACAGAGTTTGTTTTCAAACATTTACAGGTGTCACTAAAAGTAAGTCAATTGAAGAGTAACTAACTTGCCTTTAAATGACAGGACATAATCCCTAAATATCAATATATGCCATGTGGGAAAACTCAATCACATCCCAAGACTAACCACAGTTAAAGCAGATTAGGGACTAAAAGTTTAAAAAAAAATAGTGGTGTACTTTTTCCACCCTCTGGTTTAGAAAAATTATGGCTGTAAATACCGACCCTATTTCCCTTCTTGTGTGCCAGACTGCTAGGTAGCTAGTTAAATTTTAGCAGAATCTCTTCCCTCAAAATCAGTATCTTAGAAAAACAAGGACTAATGAAGGAGAATGGAAAGAAGGAAGAGGAGGAGAAAGAAGAGGACTGGAAGATACTGAAGATGGGGATGAGGATGCAGGTGAAGAAGATGAAGGTGATGATGAAGAAAAACGAGAGGATGATGAAGGAGGTGACAAAAAAAGCAATTGATTCCAATCTTTAACTTCTCTCTTTTTCTTTTTTTTTTCCCCTCCAATCCCTTGGAATGAATAGTAGTTATTTCTTCCCTGTTCCTCTTGTGCTCACTTGCCTATTTTTGAGACTCCTTTTCTCAACACCATGGTTTTCAACTTATTTTTGGGAAATACCTTGAGCAAAATAAAATAGAAAAAGAACCTCCACCTTTCTGTTCTAAGTTCATTTTTATTCTTTCTTTTCCCAGACTGTGGAATCGACATCCCCACTGTGTTCTATGGGAGGGCGAATATCGTGGTTTAATAAGGATCAGGAAAAACAGATAGGCTGAATAGATGTTTATTCAGGCAGAAATAGCTTACAACAGAGACAGATGAACACCAGAAGGTACCTGGTCTCAAGGATGCCTCTGGATGCTCCTCTGTTGCCTTGCTGCAAGCAAGAGCAAGCTCTGGGGCCCCTTCTCCAGACCTAGTTCCCCCAGGCCACGTCCACCTCTGTCCCCACCCCCAAAGGGCGTGGTCAGTACCACAGGTGCGGACAAAGTGATTATCTCACTATGGAAGAAACCCTTCGGTTCCTTAGAAGACAGATTATAACTGGCTATGCCACAGTTTCCCATGGACACACTGAGCACACTAGAAGTCAGTTTATGCCATTGAGAATATTGTTCTTTCTAGAACTTTCTTTTTGGCAAAAGAAAACATCAACACTATTTTTTTTAATGAACAAAAGTATTTTTTGTTTTTCTTTTTCCTTTTTTTATTTAAATTTGAAACAAGGTTATTTTACATGTCAAACCCAGTTTGGGAGGGCCTCACCCTCCCATCCTCCCCTATCACCCCCACCAAACCCCAACCCAGGGAAGGTGAGGCCTTCCATGGGAAGTCTTCAAAGTCTGTCATATCAATTGGTGTAGGACCTAGGCCCTCCCCCATGTGTCTAGGCTGAGAAAGTATCCCTCTATGTGGGATGGGCTCCCAAAGTTCATTGATACACTAGGGATGAATACTGATCCATTACTAGAAGCACCATAGACTGACCAGTCCTAACTAACACCTACATTCAGGGGATCTGGGTCAGTCCTATGCTGGTTTCCCGGCTATCAGACTGAGATGCATGAGCTCCCCTTGTTCAGGTCAGCTGATTCTGTGTGTTTCTCCAGCCTGGTCTTGACCCCTTTTGCTCCAAATAATGAGTATGCAGTTTGACAAAAAGAGGGTATAATCAGGAAACTACATATTCTTAACTTCAGCCATTATCCCAGCATTTGGAAGGTACAGACAGGTGGATCTCTGAGTTCAAGACCAGCCTGGTCTACAGAGTGAGTCCCAGGATAGCCATAGTTACTGAGAGAAACCCTGTTACAAAAAATCAAATAACAACAAGAAAGAAAGAAAGAGAGAGAGAGAGAAAGAGAGAGAGAGAGAGGAAGGAAGGAAGGAAGGAAGGAAGGAAGGGATTTCTTAAAACACAAGATATATATTCATCAGACAAATGAAACTAAACCATTTGTGACTAAATTATTTTAGGAATGGGTTTAATGGGTTTTGGAAGAATGTGCCTAGATAAATTCTTTTCTGATTACTTAGTCTTATTCTAATTTATTTTTTTCTCTGTTTGAAGATTTATTGTCATTTGGTTATTGGTCTGATTTTCATTTTCTCAGTCACCAACTTCTGTGTGAAACTTGTAGGAAAAGTTCAAATTGGGAAAGTGACAGATTCCAGGGACTGTCACTCAAAATATGGAACTCTAGCATGCTGATTTTTTGTTTGTTACCTTGTCTTGTTTTTTGAGAAATGGCTTCTCTCTCTCTCTCTCTCTCTCTCTCTCTCTCTCTCTCTCTCTCTCTCTCTCTCTGCCGTCCTCCTGGTTGTCCTGCTATGTACTCAAAGTTATGGTGATCTGCCTGCCTCTGCCTTCAGAGTACTGGTATTAAAGGCGTGCACCACCACCATGCTTGCTTAGATTACACTATTTTTATTGACATTGTCTGTTTGCTTTGCTTTTCAATTGTTTTACTTACTTACATTTTTTTTCTGTGCAAATGAACAAAACTATTCTGTTCACAGAAATATACACTGAGTGGGAAAGCAATCTCCGATTACAAGCTAGCAACAAAAGACCCCCCCAGAACATGGAAATAACAAATAACACAAGCTCACCACAAAGAAACCAGTAAAGGCATGTCAGAAAAAAATTCAAGGAAGAAGACAGTAGGAATCACTGTATGAACTGTATGAAAGTGGAAGTCAGGGTAGAAGGCAAAATTCATCATGATGAGCATGTTGATTACAGAGCTCCTCCCTAAGAATAGTTTCTCAACTGTAGCTCCCTAAGTTTTCCCCTGATTCTTCTTACCTTTTCCACCATATCATCCACATTCTCTCCATCTCCACCCATCCCATCACAAATCTGCCTGTAGGGAGTTGGGACCAAGTCAGTGAGCCTGTCCTCTTGTTTCTACCAAGGCCATCACCTCTTCCCAAAGGGCGGTGTCTTCTGTCCACTCTGCCACTCTGCAGCAGCTGCTCCATTCCATCCTTTTCCTGGGTCTATCCCTTGCCATGTCCTCCTTTTCCCAATTCTCAGTAACACGTGCTGCCAGCAGGCATGTTCCACTCACAGGCATGCCAGCCTGCCATGCACAGGGCAGCCAGAAGCTGGTGTCTAGATGCCTGTGATGACTGTAGCCAAGGCTGTGTCACTCTGCAAACTTATGCTGGTTATGTTAAATAAGGAAGTTAGCAGCACATATTGCTCAGGGCTTTACTCTTCTCTTCCCTAACCTGCCTAATGTTCGTAATCACCAAATGAGAACATAATTACCTGTGGTCTTCTCCCTTAGTTTTATTGAGTCTCTATGGCAAGAAGCCTGTCAGCAAACTGGACAGACTTTTGCCACGTATAATCATCACCAATGTCAGTCCTATCCAATGCTCCAAAAGAAAATGATTTTCAAGTCATTTACAAACTCATCTGTCCTCTGGGCCCAACAGGTTCTCCAAGCACATTGACTTCCTCTAAAAATAATTTACTATGCCCTGACATTCTGCATTCTTTTCCTCTCTCACACACAAAATTATATAATGCAGGCACTTTCTCAAATCCTGGAAGCCCTCCTGCCTCAGCCTCTTGAGTGGTGGAAACAAGCCATGTGCCTCCAAGACTAACAAGAAACAATAGTGTTTGAAGCTGGGTAGACACATGAAGTTACTTAGATACTTCCATGAGGTGCATGACATCAAATACACTTTTATGCTTCTCAAATTTACTTGCCATATTCACTGTAGTGTGATTGACAGTGAGTTAATCTGTTGACACCTTAGTCTGAATCAAGGCTGTGAAAAGCTCATTAGGAATTAAGACATTCTTCATGACCTCTACTTACTTGCAGAATATAAGAGCATTCTCACTTTTTAAGTACTTTGAAGTCAAAGTATCAAGAGACTGAAGAGTGGTTCCCTGGTTAAGAGTGCTTACTGCTCTCGTGGATGACCCCAGTTGAGTTTCTAGTACCCAGCTCACAAACACCTTTTATTCCAGTTCTAGGGAATATGACTCCCCCTTCTGTCATCCATGATATCCACACACGTGGCATACCTTCGCACAAATTCACACACATACACCCATAAATAAAAATTTCAGGGCTGGAGAGATGGCTTAGAAGTTAAGGGCACTGACTGCACTTCCAGAGGTCCTGAGTTCAATTCCCAGCAACCTCATGGTGGCTCACAACCATCCGTAATGAGATCTGGTGCCCTCTTCTGGCATGCAGGCAGAATACTGTATAATAAATAAATATTTAAAAAATAAATCATAAATAAATTTCTCAATGTTGGTGTCATGTAGATTAAGCTGGCCTTAAACTCATGTGGAACCTCTTGCCTCAGCACAGCCTCCCAAATGCTGGGATTACAGATGTTGGCCACCATGGGCAGCTCTTAAAACACAAAATGAAATGTTGGATTCAACCTACAAAAATCTTTGAGGTATTTAATAATGTGTAAGCACAAACAAGAAACACTGAAGCCAAAACATTCAGAATCTCAACATACCTCCTGAGCAGTACTCAAGAGAGAGCAGATGTGACAAATGGTACCAATTACAGGAGGGATCTCCATAAGTCCCTGGTCTGAGGTTTTGTCTTCAAGGTGTCTGAGGTGGGGAAGTCTTGGTTGGGAATTCCCTCATCGCCCCAGAATTGTCTTCTGTAGCCCTCAACTTCTGTCTGCTGTCCAGTCCTTCCATCTGGACCCATGTTCTCACTCCCACTGCGCCTCGGAATTCTGGAGAAAGCCACTCACACTCACTGTGGTCTCTCCCCACAAACCATGATGCAATTCACTCCTCAGAGAGGAACAAAGTCTCAATCCCTCCAGGCTTTCCAGACACCTAGGATGGGGGCTGCAGTGCTGCCTGCCACCCTCCTGCTGCTCTCAGTACTCCAGGCTCAGACCCTGATGGAGATCCAGAATGGAGCTGGTGAGTGTGGATCAGGAGGGAAACAGCCTTTGCCTGGAGAAGCCAGGGCAATTGGCCTGCTTAGCATCTCAAAAAGCCTTTTCTCATCGCCCACCCAGATTCTCCTACCCCTTCTCTACCAGCATTCTGAGCCCAGCGCCCTGATCCTCTCCTGGCCAACGTACCTGCCCAGGATGAGGGTCAGGGTCTCACTGTGCACTGCCCTCAGGCTCACACTCCATGAGGTATTTTGTAACCACCACTGCATCTCTAACGGGTGTCGGAGAACCCCAAGTCATCATCGTTGGCTTTGTGGATGACACTCAATTCCTGCGCTTCGACAGTGATGCGGCTGCTAAAGTAGTTCCGCGCGTGCCATGGGCAAAACAGATGGGGGCCAATTATTGGAAGTGGGAGAGAAAGGGTATGGATCATTATTCACACACAGCCCGAGAAAACCTACGATTTGCACTCCGGATCTATAACCAGAGCGATGACGGTGAGTGACCCCTACATTTACCTACAGACGGGCCAAGTCACTCTGGGTCGCACATCCTAGGTTTGGTTCCAAGCTGCTGGACCAGGAGCAACGCTGGACTCGAGAGAGGACCAGACTGAGTCCCGGTTTCTGGTTCAGTTTAGGTGGAAATTCTGTGGGTGGGTGGTCCCTGGGTGGGGTCCAATAGGTGGGCTTTGGGTGGGGCCCTGTGATCCAAGCTAACTTTAGGGGCGGCATCAGGCTCTCATACCTTCCAGTGTTTCATTGGTTGTGAAGTGGGTCCAGACCAACGCTTCCTCCGTGGGCACAATAGACATGCCTTTGATGGCCGCGATTACATCAGCCTGAACGAGGACATGAGAACTTGGACTGTGGCAGACACGACAGCTCAGATCACCCAGCGACAGTGGGATGCAAAAAATGTAGCCAAACACTGGAGGATCTTCTTTGAGGGCTGGTGCTTTGCTTGGCTACTCAGGCACTTGGAGTTAGGGAAGAAGATTCTGCGGCGCTCAGGTAATAAGAGCTGAGAAGCAATTCCTCTATCTGTGCTCAGAGAAGGGCGCATGCCTCCAAGGAGGGAGGAAAATGGGACCAGCTGAAATACTGTAGCTCTCTCTTGTATACTAAGGGGAAGGAGTGCTCCTGGTTTTCCTAACCCAACATCAGAGAGTGACTCAGCCTTCTCTCAGAACAGTTTAGGTTCTCTGGGGATGATAGGAAAAAAGACCCCAGAAATAACCAGCAGCAGCCCTGTTCACTCTGCAGCCTGTAGTGAATCATGACCTCCTAGAGCTGAGTTCTCTACCCACACCCAGTGTCTTTGGAGGTCTGGCTCAAGTGATGATGAGTCTCTCATCCCTCAAGGCAAGGCAGGACCAGAAACCCTCTTTTCATGGTGGGAAAGTTGGGAATCTTTCTTTTCAAGGAATAGATTAGTTTAGTGCCTGAGTGTAGACAACTTGTGTGGGGTTTGCAAACCCCCTTCCCCATCATTCCACATGCACATAAATCTCCTGTGCTTTGCCAGGATAGGCATGTGTATTCTACTTTAGTTCCCAGAAGAAATTACAAAATGCTTGAATTTTCCAACTCTTCTCCTCAGAGCCTCCAAAGGCACATGTTACCCATCGCCCTAGACCTGAAGGTGATGTCACCTTGAAATGCTGGGCCCTTGGGTTCTACCCAGCTGAGATCACCTTGACTTGGCAGAGGGATGGGGAAAACCAGCCCCAGGACATGGAGATGATGGACACCAGGCCTGCAGGGGATGGAACCTTCCAGAAGTGGGCAGCTGTGGTGGTGCCTTCTGGGGAGAAGCAGAGATACACATGCCATGTGCAGCATGAGGGGCTGCCTGAGCCCCTCACCCTGAGATGGGGTAAGGAGGAGTATGAGCACAGAGCCCTGTGTCAAGGAAACAGGTGACCTGGAGATCCTAAATATGATCAGTGCTGAGGTGGGATTCATCAACTCTTCTCTCTTCCTAGAGTCACCTCCTCAGCCCATGTTTGGAATGGTTGGTGTGGTTCTCCTTGGAGTTGTGGTCACTGGCGCTGTGGCTGCCATTGTGATGAGGAGGAAGAAAAGTGCAGGTAAAGAACGGATTGGTGCCTCATGGTTTTCTATAGAGTTCAAGCCCTAGATGGAAATATGCACATTGACAATTTTGTTACTATGGGACACAACTATGTGTGAGTGCTTGCCTAGTTTGGGACCCAGTGTACTAGGATTTTTAAAAGAAAAAACAAAACAAAAACATCTTTTTACATAGATCTGGCTGTCATGGACCCTACTATGTAGATCATTCTGGCCTTAGACTCAAGAGATCTACCTTCCTATGCCTCCCAAGTGCTAGGATTAGTTGTATGTCTACAACATCACTATCCTGTATCTCTATCAGTCTTTTTCTCTCCCCCCCCCACCCCATGTACTTAGTCAGATAACTTTTCCAGGAATCTACTTTCATCTCTGTATTACCATATTTTTCCATCTTGTAACTGCTCTTGAACTCTCTTTACACATTAAGGGAATACCTAGGAAGTGTATAGAAAGGAAACAGACAGCAAGCCCCCACATCGCTCTCCCTTTCCCAAACATTCCTCAGCTGGGCACCACAGGAGTCCTCAGCTCCACAGGTTGAATGTCCTCATGCTGAGCCTTGACTCAGCACATGGAGATGGGGCAAAGTTGGAACTGCATGAATGAATTTGGCAAAGGTGACTTTGGCACATCCAGTTTCCTGAGTAGCAGGAAAGTTGTCCCACAGAGACCAGCTCCAGAGTGTGAGTGATTCCTGTGCTCATTGCATCAGTGTGGGACCTGATGTTGATGGCCTTGTCAGTTCTGTTCCTAGCTATGAATGCTCAGATTTGGTTAATTGGCTTTTTCCAAAACACAATGCTCACCAACCCTCCATTATCATATATTAAAGTCCTTTGCTTTTAAATGATAAAAATTTGGATTCCAAGATTTATACCTGAAAGTAAGAGATCAGCCTAGGTAATTTTGAGATAGCAGCCAGTAAGAGACTCTGTGTAATTGGGTCATGTATTTTCTATCTGAGGACACACAATATATATCTGTGAGCATGATAACTCAGGACTAATAATGTATATTCTCCAATTTCTTTCTCAACCCGTCCTCCAAATGAAATGCCCACATAAAACCCTTTTCCATCATGGCTGCTGTTCTCACCACTAACATCAAGGGCCATAAATCTTGTTCCAAAATACAGAGGACTGTTTGCAGATCTCTCATTTAGACACTCAGTATGTAGCCCAGCACTCACTATTCCTTTTTCTATTTCTCTGCTAACAGCAGCATCTCACACTGTTTCCCACCCTGGCTTGGAAGTTACTATGTAGCTGTGATGGCTAAGCTTCATTGCCATCTCTACCGGATTTAGAATCTCCTGGGAGATCCAATTCTGGCCACATCTGTAAGAGTGTTTCCAGTGATTAATTAAGCATGGAGAACCCACTCTGGGTCCAAGGATAAAAAGCAAGAACAGGATAAAGCCAGATCCCTGAGCTCTGCTTCCTGATCTACTGAAGTGTGATGAACCCCAGCCACATGCCCCTGCTGCCAGCTACTCCACCATGCCTCATGCTGAGATTGCTGTACTCTCTAAATCATGGAGCAGAATAAGTCTTTCTTCCTTTAACTTGCTTCCACTGGACATTTTGTCCCACAATAAAAAAAATAATAATTAACAAAAATCTGTACAGGCTATGAAATCCTCTTTATGAACCACCATACCTGACAGCGGGAATTTTTATGTTATGTGCCATGAGTGAGGCTGATGTATAGCCTACGAGGTCCTTGTCTACATCTATGTAGTTCCATGATCTGTATATCAGCAGCTTCTGTATCCACTTTGATATAAATACAAAGATTTTTGACTCTTCATCAGATTTCTAAGTGTTTTGTTTTGTTTTGTTTGTGGGGTTTTGTTTTGTTTGTTTTGTTGAAACAATCTCATTATGTAGCCTTGCCTATCCTGGAACTTGCTATACATGTAGGCCAGGCTGGCCTTGAACTCAGAGAGGTCCTATGAGAGGAGGTATCTATCTCTGCCCAGAGTGCTGTGATTAAAAGCCAGTGTCATCAAGTGTTGGAAGCTGTGTTTGCAGGGTTGCAATTAGAGCCAGCTGAGCAACCCCAGGTTCCTGCCTGTGAGGGAGGGTGTGGATGAGGGAAAGGGGTTAAGAAATCCTAGACAGAGACACAGAATAGCTATCGGGAGAGCAGATTCAATCCATACCAAATGTGCCCTTAGTTTATTCTTACAACATCTTATGTATTCAACAACAGTGAAGACAAAATGGCAGAAGACCTCTATTATCATGTATCCTTAATACTCCACACCTGCCATCTGGCCTTCAGGGTGGAGAGTAAACTCACCTGAGCCCATGTCTATTGTTATTTTGATAAGAGACATCTACCACCAAGGCCAAAACACTCTGTAGTCACCAAACTAATGTCTTATGGACAATAAGGCAGATTTGAGCCCTCTGAATTTGTGGCAAGACAGAATGGACTCCTTTTCATGGGTCCTGACAATCAAGTCTGACCTTTTTCTTGTTGAGCTATCCAGAGGATTCCTGTGCACAGGAAAGTAGGGACTCCCTGATCTATTGTGTTAGAAACTGGCATTCTGCTGTGGAGCAAACATGCCCTGCGTGGTCATGTCCTAGCTACATCATGCATTAAAGGGCTATGTAAGGAATCAGTACACATGTGCAATGTGTAATGTCCATGTTTTAAATGAATTTAAAATTCAATTTCTTTGCAGTTTTCTCTGCTCACACCTTAAGGAAAAGCAACCTATATCCTTTCCAATTGCTTCCTCCATTGTCTCGATTGCTGCCCACAAATTCACTCAGTTCTTAACCAGAATGATCCTTTGGGGTTTTCTTGTTTGTGTGTTTTGTTTTGTTTTGAAACACAGTCTATGAAGCTGAACTTGTAGACTTGTGTGTCTGTTTCCCAGTTCCTGGGCTGCCAGGTGTGCACCACAACTGGATCTTGGCTTTTTGGTTTTTGAATTATTTATGTATTGTAGACATGAATCCTCTTTCAGATTTGTAGCTAGAAAAGATTTTCTTCCTTTCCTTAGACTGTCATAATGATGCACCGGTGAAGATACATGGGACGAGGATAAAATATGGGTTATATATTTTATTCTGGAAGAAGTCACTTACACAAGAAACCAATGACCCACAAGTTCTTGCTCCAAGGATCTACACCCAGGCTGCTCTCCGTGACTGGACCTGAACCAAGAGAATGAGTTTGTGTCCAGGACCCCAGACCAGCCTACCCTGTAAGGTCTGCACCTGTGACCACGCCCAAATGGGCATGGTCAGTGCAATAGGTGTGGTAGGGGTAGACATCTCACTACACTGTCTTTTCACTCTCTCATTTCCTTTGCTGGGCAGAAGTTTTTCACTTTCGTGCAATCCCATTTGTCAAAGTTTGCTCTTGTTTCTTGAGAGATAAATCCTTTTCCAAAAGTCCTGGTCTATGCACATACCAAAGGGGTTTTTCTCAAGCAGATTTCAGAGTTTCATATTACATTTAAGGTATTTGAGATTAATTTTCTACAGAGTGAGAGATAGGAATGTAGTTTTCTTCTTCTGTATGGGGATATCAAGTTTTCCCAACACCGTTTGTTGAATGAGTTTGTGTTCTTATTCCCACTGTATGTTTAGGCATTGTGGTTGAAAATAAAATAACTGTACTGGGTTTAATGGTGACTGGAGGGCAAGGAATGCCACAATAATCACACCATGCAACAGAGCTCACACACGGGGTTTATTAGGGAGGGGCAAAAAAGACTGTCTCTAAGTGGGGATTTGGAAGGGAGGAAGTGAGGAATGGAGGAAGGGAAGGGAGGAGAGAGAAGGAAGAAAGGGAGGGAGGGAGGAAGGGATGAAATAGGGGAAAATGAGAAGGTAAGGAGGAAGGGAGAAGGGAGGAAGGGAGGAAGAGGTGATGGCTAGGACCTTATAGGGCATATGGAGCACAATCATACAGGGACTTGTAGCATTGTGATGATAGGGATGCTGATGCTGTGTCCTGGAAGGCTGGATGGAGGATGGGGAACACCTGATTCTGGAATGTGATTGGTTCCAACACTGTAGCTATAGATTATATATGAGTCCTCTATCCTAGTCCATTGGTCTGTGTCTATTTCTGTGCCAGTATTATGCTTTTTTTTTAAAACCATGTCTCTGTAATAGAATTTGAGACCAGGATTTTAACACATCTAATATTGTTCTTCCTGCTAAGAACTACTTTGGCTATTAGGAGTTTTTTCTGTATCCATATAAATTTAGACTTTTTTTTTCTAGTTCTTTAAAGACTGTCATTGGGAACTGCATTGAATTTCTAGATTTATTTCAGGATGATAGTCATATTTGCCACATTAATTTTGCATATTTATGAGCATGGAAAGCCTTTCTATATCTTCTAGTCTCTCTCTCTCTTTCTTTCTCTCTCTGTTTTTTTCTTCTTTCTTTCCATCTGTTGTTTGGTTAGTTTTGGTTTTGGAGACAAGGTCTCACTATGTAAACCAGGCTGGCCCCTAAGTTGCAGCAATGCCCCTGCCAGCTGATGGTTGGATTACAGATGCAAGCCATCATGCCCAGCCTTAATTGGTGTTGTAAAGCTTTATTGTAGATGTCTTTAGCCTTCTTATGTATATTCCTAGGTATTATTGTTTTATTTTGTTTTTGAAACAATTATGTATGGGATTGTTTTCCAGATATTTCTCACCATGTTTGTTGTTGTTGTTTTGAATAGCTGGTGGCTTTTTATGGGGCTTTATATTCTTCTACTTTACTGAAATTATGTTAGATTTCAAACACAGGATCATATCACTTACAAGTACAAATCATTTAACTTTCTGTTTTATATCTGGTTTCATCTTTCCTTCTTTCTCTTTCTTTATTGCTCTTAAGACATCAAGAACTATATTAAAATGGAGTAAAGGAGATAGACACCTCTTGTCTCAACTTAATTTTAGAGGCAATGCTGTTTCCCCCATTTAGTATAATGATGGATAGAATTTTCTTATATATAGTATTTATTATGTTGAAATACATTCCTTTTATCCCTACTTTCTTCGGGGTTTAAATGTATCATAAAAGAGTTGAACTTTGCCAAAGACCTTTTCTGCATACATTGAGGTGACCCTGTGATTTCTGCCCTTGCATCTATCCATGTGCCATATCACAGTTATTGACTGAATATGTTGAGCCATCCTTGTATCCTTGGAATGATGCCAATTTGGCCATGGTATATGACATTTTAATGCAGTGGACTTTTACTTGCAAGAATTGTACTGAAAAATATTCATTGTGGAATTTGACCTATAATTTTCTATTTTGTGTCTTTACCTACCTTTTGATATCAGGATAATGGTCATCTTAAAAAAATACTTTTGGTAGTGTTGTTTCCCTTTCTGTTTTATGATATTATTTGAGACACATTGGTGTTAGCTCATCTTTAGATGTAGAGTTCAACAGTGACTCCATATGTTCTTGGATTTTTACATGATTTTTATTTTTAACATTATCAGGTGTGAAATTGCTCCATAGCCATCAGTTACATTCATACTAGATTTGGAGAATGGTGGGAAATGTGAAGCATGATCCTAACTAGTCTTAATAATAAAAACCCAAAGCCAAATATCAGGGTAAAAGCTGAAAGATCAGAAAAGCAAAGCAGCAGCCATAGTCATGTCTTACCCTTTGCCTCCTCAGACCAAAAGGGGCAGAGACCCTGTGTTCACCTGCCTTATCATTTCCTCTCTCCGCCCAACACTATCACTTCCTGTCTCCTCTCTGTACAGACCTCCAGAACTCTATGGTAAACTGGTGGCTAGCTCTACCCTCTGGTCTTCAGGCAAGCTTTATTTGTTAGAGTATAAACACGATATCACTAAAATATAATACTCTTAAGCTTAGCCTGGGCTAAGCTTATATGAGGTCTTGTCTGAAACAGAGAGAGAAAGAGAGAGAGAGAGAGAGAAAGAGAGAGAGAGAGAGAGGAATGAGATTTTATTTACTTTTTATTTATATGTATTTGTGTATGTCTCTGTGTGAGTATGTACACATCTCAGCAAGTGCCCTTGATGGCCAGATTCTTGGATCCTTAAGTTCCCTAGAGATAGTTATTAGTCACCCAACATGGGTGTGGGAGCTAAATTTGGGTCCTCTACAAGGGCTCTTAACTACTGATTCATGTCTATAGCTCCTGCTTCTACTTCCTGATTGCTGAGTGTGCATCACCACACCATGTTTTATGGGATGATAACCAAACCCAGGTCCTCTATGCCAGGCAAGCACTCTGCTGAGTTACATCTCCTGCTCCAGTTTCTTA